GCCGAGAGGAGAATAAGACAAAAAAAAAAATAACCATACACTTGCACACTCACGTATCGTTGAGGTATAAAGCAAAAACTGGAACACACAAAAATATTCAACTAAAAGCCAAAAAATCCGGGCAAAGTCTCAGTAAACAAAGCGACCACACAAATCGAAACGAAAAGCGTGCAGACGTGCAGCGCCAAAAAGAAAATGCAGAAAAAAACCCTAAGCGGAAGTTTAAGTCGGTCATGAAAACACAGAAAAGTGTTAAAGTGCTTCAGTTTTTATATTACCGACAACTATTCGTTCTTTTATATTTTCATTTCAACTTGAACAATTGAGTACGTGAAAAGGTTCCGAATCTTTTTTTTATTTATAATCATATAAAGCAAAAAAAAAAGCGAAAGGAAAGATAACACCACTGAAAAATTAAGTTGATATCAATTTTGATTCAACAAAAAATTCTTTAACTATTAATTTCATTATTAATCTTAATTATACTACAAAAAAATTTGGTTGAATTTCTTATCAGTGAGACCTAATGTGAATCCATAACCCTTATATTGTGAATTTCATACCAGAATGTGAAGCTTTACATTCCCACTCCCATTGTTTCTTTTTACTTGCTAACTGCTTATTGTACAAGTATCAAAAAAAAAAGTTATCCTATTAATATTAGTGTTATATATATTTTCTATTCCCCATTTTAATAAACTGTTACATAACATTAAAGGAATTATAAAATCGTACATTTCGCTGTCATCCATAATGATATTTATTTGGCCAAAAATAAAATAAGCCATATGCTAAATGCATTATCAATACGCTTTTGCTCTCAACGGCAAATGCTTTAATATGCGCGATAGGCATTGTTTAAGCTTCCTTTATACATATGAATGCCGAAAAATATGAGCCACAACCTCAAGGCATGGCACAAACAGCTGCCTGTCTCTCCACAAACTAGGTATATAGTACGTCATATTGTGGGCTGCTTAACCTGACCTAAATTCCGGTGAAAATGAGAATCTAAAACAAAGCATAGAGACAGACAGCTTTGGGATTTACTGTAGATTAAACACGCCAAGAGTAAAATATTGTTGCTGCTGTTCAACTACAACTCTGTCTACTTTTTGAATACAACTGATGATAACTAAATCAAATGATAGTTTAAGTAAAGCAGAGAATATGGAAGAAACTATCAACCGCAAGAAGTTCAAGCAAATTGAAATACTTTAGAAATGTGCTGAGTCCCGTTTCACTTAATACATAATCTCTTATTAAATACCTTCCATTTTTGGTTGGCCCCAAACCTTGGGCATCAGCTGCTGCTAATGTCTAATTTATGCAAGGTCGTTTACTTACTCATTCCCCCAGTTTGATTTTAACTAGAGATGTGCGTGTCAAAATCATGACTTTCTTCCACTCTTCAGAATTTTTAGAAAGGTTGTCACGAGACCTGATATACAATTAGGAGATTAAGGCTATCAGAATTATCCTACTGATTCAACAAGAGCACAGAATATTAAATTACTGGATAATTCGATAAATCCCTGTAGACTAAGATATATCTAGAAAATTTCTCTTTAACCAAAATAGGATTTTTTTTAAAAACCAATGATTTATTAAAACTGTATTCCAAACTACCTTTGTATACTGCTGAAGTCTTCAACTTTTCCTGTAGACAATATTTGCCTTACGAAACATAAGTCATAAATAATCTTCATTGTTACAGCGTTACAGGAAGCGTAAAATAAGAACAGATCCATCTATTATTATTCTCCTTGTCTAAATTTCCTCACTACACAAAAGATTTTTCGGAAGCTGATAAGCTTTCATTTGCTGGCTTATTATTTTTACAACTTTTTAGACTAAAGTCTGCTTTGATTTAATTTCCACGCCAATATAAGCAATCAATTGTTGAAGTAGTCTTGAATCTTTCCACTCATGCACATCTCTAATTTCCAGCTTGCTAGTCAACTGCACCCTCTTGTGTTCAGTTTTGCATTCGCAACTTAACTTGATTTTATAGCTGGCTTTTTTGTCATTCCACTAATTAAAGGCACATTTTGCATTAGGTTGACGGACGGAGGGACAAACGGACCAACTGACTGACTCACTGACAAAATGGCCGACCAATGCGCAAGTCTCCTGGCTTTGGTTATCTGACTCAAGTTTTTCAGGCCATGTGTCCTCGTACACATAATTATCTAGGGTCCTTGAACGCATGCGGGTGGTTGGGCAGAAAATGTAACTCAAGCATTTTACTCGGTCGCCGACAGAACGAAATTAAAATAAAAGGGAATTAAAAGAGAGACAAACTGGCAGGCCAGAAAAGAAAAACACATATACACATATATATATTTTATGTATATACAAGTATAAACCAAAATGTAGAACGTATTTCAACTTGGAAATAAATGCAAAATGAAGCGTAATGATAAAAAGCTTAGTTGGGGGCATTTTGAAATGGACAATTGTATGTATGTATGTGTGTGTGTGTGTGTATGTACAAGGCCATCCCTGATGTCTAAGCTTTCTATGCAGGGGCTAACATTTAACTGGTTAAGCAATTTTGCAAGGGGTCTCTGCAATGGCAGCCCCTCCCAAGGGGCTACGTTTTAAGTGTTTGCTACTTGAGCAGCCTAAGTGACAGCTTGAGCGCTTTAGAATTGGCATATGAATGGGGCAGGGGCTTAGAACTGTGACCAACAGCAATTGGCTCTTCATGCTTTAGTCTAGCGTGCACACGAGGGCTGTCCAAAAACATTTGGTAACAGGGCAGTCAAATTTTGATTGAAGTCAAACAAAGCTGGCAAGCAAGAATGTATTTTTGAAATATTTCCAATAATTTAATATAATTAGCAATTTATATTGATCAATTATGAAATGGTTTTATTTCAACAATACGTTACATTATTCATATATGGAGCTTTCTTTATCGATTCATAAAAAGTAAGCAGTAATAAGGAGTTATGGAACATAGAAGGAATGATGAATAAATGTTGATTTTAGAAACGTTGATGAGAATTTTTTATATTTTATGTCTAACAGAATTTTACCAACTGCTTAGGGATGTGCAACTGTCCAATTTTGATATATTTGATATTAGAATCCAGATAGTTCGTTTTACGATAAAAATAATAATACCTTTTTTATTCATATACTTGTATGTGCCAGGGCTATTTTATGAAACCAAGGGTCTTATTCCTAGCCTGAAATTTGATTTGATTTCTTTCTTGAAAGTCTTAACAGCATTTGAAGATCAAAGCACATATGCAAAATTGCATTATCAAGATTAAATCAAATTATGTTAAAATATTTTTAATATTCTGTTTCTCAAAACCAACCTCGCATATTAAAGAAATTTTCATAAATTTTGCATAAAGAGCTTCAGAAATAAAATGGCACATTTGAATACCAATTGCACAGCCAATTCAAGCTGACAATATTCTCACGGTTCTACATGTATATACTTGTAGATCATATATCACAAAAATATTGCCAATGTAATTCAGTCATGCTGATTAGGGCGTATATTCGTTATATTTATGCAAAATACGTACAAGTCTTTAATCTTCAAGCATAACTTTTATAAATTGTTTGATATGCAGAAAATTGAAAAGCAAAACTTTACAGACAAATACAAACGCACACACACATACAGTGTGTGTAGTATATGTATATAGTATAAGTGTGTGTGTGTAAACACTTGGCATAAAACAATACAGCGTAGGAAGCACTCGAGGCGCAGACAGCACAAAGAGACAAAGCAAAAACAACTACAACAGCAACAATGCATAAGAACAACACTCGAGCACAATGACAAATACAATTTAAACGTAGGAAACTTCAAAAGCACTGAAGCACATTTGTTTTGCAGACATTTCATTCTTATTTACCTGAATCCATACACACACACAAGCAAATACATACTACATACTACATATGTATATACACATTCATGTCAAAGAAGCCGATGTACGGTAAAGATATTTAAATACAAAAGTTAAGAGTCGGTTTGTGTGAGAGCTGCAATATCTGACAACAAATCGTCAAGCGCAACATCAAAGCAAACACACGGCTAACAACAAATTACTAACACTAATTTGGTGTGAGAGCTGCGATATGTAATTCGCAAAGTTTTTTGGTTGTGATATAACAATTTCAGTGAGACAACTTGTTGGTTTAGTTATGAATAATAATAATGACTGCAGATAAAATATTAAAAATAATATTGGCAATCTACCGGAGTGAAATTAAGGTATATCAAATATTTATTCACGAAAACAAAGTAAATCAGATCAGTTAAATGGACAAAGTTAATGAACAATGAAAACAAACACATTAACTCTCAAATATAAATAAACAACTAAGCTATAAAACTTAAATAACTTATAGTTGGCTGGACAAAACAGGACTTATAAATGTGGGATTGGGTCTATTTAACTAGTTTAGAGAAATAGACTTGTGGGTTTTATTTATAATAATGATTTTAAATGAAACTTTGAAATCGTCTTGATCCGATTAGTCACGTTTTTTCGTTCTTAGCTCTTCTTTTCGACTCCTATCGTCAGCTCACTTCCCCTTCTCCCTTTGGCTGTGGCGGACTGTGCATAGATGCCAGACCAATCCCTCTTAAATAACTTTTTTATTAATATTATCAAATATGTATATAAAGAAAATGACAATGTTTAATTAATAATTAAATGGTTCAAACAAAACCCCATAGTTTTATAAACCAATTATTTTTAAACAAAACTTTTATTTTCCAAGTACATTTAAAATATCACAGTTAATGCTTAAATGCCAACCGATTGTTAGCTTAAAGATAAAACTCTCAATTGAATTGTTTTAATTTGAGAATGCAAAGCCCAGAACTGAGAATTCTTTGCAGCTTCACACCCACATATGCCTACAAATGCATGCAACAGAAAGCATAATAAATGAACATCTCTCTTTCTCGCTCTGTCTTTTTCTCTTTCTATCTCGGTCTGCCTTTGCATTGTGGCCTGCAGTGACTACCGTGGAGCCGAACAACATGTATACGACCTGTATACCCATTGGCGGCGGCAACTACACGGGCGCAACCGGTGGCGTTTTTGCGCCCACAACGCTGGCCAATGCGTCCACAGATACGCTGGCATCCGGATTCGAGGCAGCCGGGTATGCGGCCTACTCGACCGCACTGAGCGTCACAATCGCCATCGGCTGCAGCTTGCTCATATTGAATGTCCTGATATTTGCCGGCGTCTATTATCAGCGGGACAAGACGCGACTCGAGGTGAAGACGCTGCAGAAGCAGTATCAGCAGCGTAGCTTGCACCAGCAAGTGCCGTATCCACCGGAGCCCATAAAACATGCACACTATCACATGGGCCACTCGCAGAGCGCAAATGTTATTGTCGATGTCGAGAATCATGGCGACCAGACGGCTGCGGCGGCGGCGGCAGCGGGGCAGGCGGCCATGTTGCTGCAGGCGGCAGCGGTAGCTGCCTCATCCAACAATGATGTGAAGCCGCCGCCACCGCATATATGCGCCAACACGGGCATGCAATTGCAGCAGCAGCAACAGCAACAACAACAACAGCAGCAGCAGCAGCAACAGCAACAAGGCGGAAGTGGAAGTTTGGTTAATAATGCAGCCATGGATGGGGGAAATGCCATGGGATTGTGTTCGGGCACGAAACAAATAGCAACGACAGCCGCACACGATGCTATGTTGGGCAATGTCACCTACAGCACTACAAGCAAGCAACAACAGCAGCAGCAGCAGCAGCAACAACAACAACAACAGCAGCAACAGCGCGAACATATGCAAATCAAAGGCATGAGCGGCACGCAAACCTTTGGTCGCAACAACAACAATACAGGAATGGGTGGTGCTGGTGGTGGAGGTGGTGGAGGTGGTGGAGGTTCAGGCAACGCCTCGGTTATTGTATCAGGCAGCACTGTTAGCTATAACCCCGGCATGATGACTCTACCGAAAGCTGGCACATTGCATCATGCAGCTACACTGAATTATGCGCGCAATACGGCCGCCCTAAATTTGGCAGGCGGCGGCACCGCACTCGTCGATAGTCGCGGCAATGTCCTTCTCACTGGCAGCGCTGGCATCGGTGGGGGTGGCGGTGGCGGTGGTGGCGGAGATTGCATGACTTTGCCGCGCAATCTGGCAGCGGCAGCGTCACGGCACAATCCAACAGCAGGTGAGTGAGCCTCCTCTACTACCCACATTTCTTTTATTCACATCAAAAACATACCACTTGCTAGCACGTCTTAAGTGGAAAAAGCCGGGCTGCGAAAATAGCGTGTTGCCTAAATAGGAAATCAAGAACTGCTCTCTCAGCTTAAATGCATACTTTCTACATATGCACTATACATATATTCTTAGTATGTATGTACGATTATATCGAAATTCGGCGTAATGAGTAATGAAAGGCTTTACAGTTCAAGTTTCAGGCAATCTAGGAACCAAATTCTTCATTTCAGTGCAATTTTGTGAGATTTTCAAAATATTTGAAGAGGCTCGCCAACTATCAATACCTGAGTTAACTGAAGTAAATATTTTGAAAGATAACTTCTACATATATTATAATTGTCAAATGAATCATACAAGTTGTTATTATTTATTTATACTTTTTTACTTGGTTGGTTAGCACAAAAAACGACTTAATTCCTTCATTAAATACTGGGATACTTGTTGGTTTCTTAACAATTGAACAGGATAATAGTAGACTCTATAGCCGCAGTTCCTTTACATGATTTCTCGCAATTGGATTTGGTGACACCAGTCGAAATGTTTTTGCCTGGGCCAAAAAGACGACCTCTTACCTTAAGCAAAGTTTGGTTTTGGGATAAGTTTGGTTTTGTGATAAAGTATCTTAATATAGCTATCCTACAATCCAATCGATTAATCGATTTTAATAGATAATAATTTCTGATTAAATCTCCACAAAATAGAAGCATTTTAATAGATAATAATTATTTAGTAAATTATCAAAACTGTCCGATAAGCTGACCTTAACATGTCGGTTTAATTTCTACACCTTAATATATATATTTCATATCGTGAAAACGAAAACCTCTATTAAATTGTATGATTTCAGAAAATAGTAATAGCAAAACTGTTTTTCTAAATAACAAACTGGTGCCTGCTTAATGTTATATAAACATTTGTATGGCAAAGAGGCAGCTTTAATTTATTTCGTTCAAGAAAATGTCACGAAAGAGAAGGAAGGACAACCAAACTAGGTGCCACCTTACTCATTCAGAAAGCGGTATAGTTTGTTGAAGAAACATTGAACCAAGAATACCAAAGTAATTTCTCCTGCACAGCCTCAATATTTTTCTGATGTATATTGGATTGAGGACACCACACATTCTGTTCTCTGCCCAATATTTATTAGTATTTAAAATTATATATTGCTCTATCAGACCTAAAAAAATAAAAGCATCAAGCCATTTCTTTGAACTTCATAGCAGCTGTGCCTGCGCACATAAATCAATTGAAGAAATTGCAATATTTTAAAGTACATTAGGCTACCCCCGAGAGAAAGATTAAGACGCACGAACTTTTCCATAACTTAATGAAATTGAAAAAATGGCGAAACACAGCAACCACAAATGCAATTGAATGCAGGTATTCTTTGGATCGAATATTTCGACCAATGGCAAACGTACACATAAAATCCAAATATATATACTACATGCTACTACGTAGCATATGTACATAAGTATAAGGAGAAACACCGAAGCAGAATGGAACGATAGCAAGAAAATATTATGGCAAACAAGCTGCAAACTGATAAGATTTCATTTCACCATAAAGTGTTTTTTCTCTCTGTAGCAATGGCGTAAAAAAATTGCAATTCATGTTCCTTTGATTTTTCTTTTGTTGCTGAAAAGTGCACAAATAGACTGGACTTTTTTTTAATTTCCCGACCATCTCGAAATATAACACAAAGCTGAACATTATGAGAGGGCTCCATATCCGCAAACAAAGCAGCAATCAATTTTTATAACTCGTAATGACACAATAGTAGACTAGGTAGTGCTGGAATGTAATTCTATTTTCATAATAGACGACATACGTTTCCAACAGCCAGTTGCCTAAAGAAATTTGTAAAACTGAACATTTAAGAGCGAATGGGTACAGATTGGGAACGATTCTCCACGTTCAACATATTTCCAATAAGTAAGGTATGTCCAACATATTTCCAATTAGTAAAATACTTGTGCATTTGTTATGCTTCTGCAAATCAAAGCAAATGATATCCATATATAAAAAAAATCCATCCATTCCATCTGTAAAGTAAGGCAAACCTTGAATTCCAAGGCCTTTCACTTTATCCACAAGAAATCAATGCTCCAAACCAAAATATCGTTTCCTTACCATAAAAAGAATCGATTATATCTATTTTTATTTTAATTATAGGTTTCTTTAAGAAACTTTAATATATTCTTTCGGTTAAATTAAAAAATCAACTTTTATGTAAATCTTAAAACTCATTTTGTCATTTGTCAGAAATAGTTCCAGAACCGCTTCTGTACTAACTTTATTGAATACAAAAACTACGAAAAGCTTAAAAATTATTATTTAGTATATAAAAGATTTCTTTTGAAAGTGTTGTCTTCCAACTCTCTGTTCAATTTAGCTTCACTATTTCCGGGCACCATCCCGAGCCCAACAATATATATATATATATATATATATATATATATATATATATATATATATATATATATATATTTATATATATATATATATATATATATTTTTTTTTTTTCTTTTGCCTAACCCAACACACATAGAAGATTTATTCTATGTGCAGTTCAATGAGCGTCTTTTGAAGCCTCAAGTACTCTCAGATATAACATTTGCAATGGGTCAGAACCATTAGACACTTTAAGCTCAATTTAAAGCGCTCAAAGAACAATGCCAGTCAGCCTCTTATAACACAGCTGGTCTCTTATATAGAATATTCGCAAACACAAAAAAAATACAATAATCGAAATGTATATGAAAGAAATGACGAAGCAACTTTGGCGAGTGCCCCACGAGCCACACATAAATTTCCTGCAGAATCACCCTAAACAAACACAACATACATATTGCTCAATCAAATTGAATGACCTTCGTGCTGACGTTCTAGAATACAGAACGGAAAAAAGCAAGCAAATCAAGCGAACCCAACTAAGCCTAAATATGTCCGCGTGAAAATTGAAATTGTACTAATCAGCCAGAGACGCCTTAAAGCCCCCAGTCAGGGGGTGGCATGATTGGGTTCCTTTGCCAGCGTCCTGGGGGCGTTATCGTACACGTGTTATGTGGACAAGAGAGAATAAATATTGCACAATGGATAAAATTACGAACAAATCCTTAAAAAGTGCATCTTCTTTAAAATCCGAAAGAAGAAGAAAGTTCAACAACAGTTTTCCTTTATAAAAGTCTATCTTCACTTTTAGAGATCTTTGTGTTACTGGATTTAAAAGTATTTAAACATTTTCATTCCACTAAGAAAGATTTTAAAATCACTGAGAACAGCGAACTGCTTTTCATATTTTTTTTTTAAGAATTTGTTTAACTTTAGGCATTTCTTTTTAGCTTATAAGATTGTCATTTATATTATTAGAATAGTCACAGCTATGGAGATTACATTTTTAAGCAGAAATTCTGAACTTCTAAAATACAAAAGCTAAATTTGTTGTATTTGCGTCTAAAAAGATGAATTTGTAAGCGTATTAAGCCGAAATATTTTAAATATATTTTGTACATTTTGTAAACACTAGCCAAAAGAATTGTTTTATTCTTCGAGTGTCTAAAATATATTAATCTGTCCTAGGTCACGTACTACAATCGCTACTTTCTTATTGCTATCTTATCATGAATTTAAAAGCATTTTTTAGTTCACGGCGGATCCAAAAACTATTTTTAGATCATATCGCTCATATGACAACAAGAGTATATGGATATAGGAGTTCTCACATTGTCCATCGAATGGAAGCCTCGGTGCAAAGTTTCATTTCGATAGCTTATCTTATAAGTATATACCCACAACATCTGGTCTAACATTCTTCTTCAAGGTCACACAAACCTGTACATCACAAAGAATATACCCTTACATTTTTTCAGTAAATTCCATACTTCCAACATGTAAAAGCTTCTTTACATTTTATGCAATCACAGCTTAACATTTTTTTCCCCACTGTCCATATTGGAAAACGAAGGAAAATATGTACAAGGCGGAAAAACATTTACGCTTCGTCGAAGTTGAACGCACTTGACTTTTGACCACAGTTTGGTGTCTGACAGCAGGACATCTAATCCGTCGGCGGTCGGTGGAACGCTGAACACTGAATGGCGATTTGCAGGCGAGCTTAAAATGCTGACCATGACGGAAACTGTTGTAAAAATTATGCTTGAATGGTTTGCCGAGGCTGGAACAGTATTTTCTTACTTTCCAACATGTGCGTTTTATTTCTTGTTTTGCTTGATGGACTGTTAAATGGCATTGTTGTTGGTGCAGCCCTTGTTATTGTTGCTCCCATCAGTTATCAGTAGGCCCAATGAAGTTATAATAGCACTTAAATAAATATGCTTCGATAATACTCATAAAATTCCACTGCAACCAAATAGAGTTGGCTACAAATGCCTGTGTCTAATAAAAAACCCTCTTGACATAAACATTATCCGTCGGCATCACAGTCACGACATTGATTTTACGATAATATTTTCAATTTCGATCTAAAGCCCATTTTACGATATGATTTTCTATTGCGCAAACTATAATTTTCCAAGGTAAAAAGGACGGTCGGGCCATAAAACGTTCAGCTATTTAAGTTTGCCGCACAAAAACAATAAAAATGATATAAAACTGTCTTGTTAGTTTAAGGCACGACTCTTGCATAATAAAACGCAAAACATTTATTAGGGAGTGGGACAGGTTGCCATTGAGTTCTGGTTAAAAAATTATGATTCCATTCATTTCATTATATTGAATGAAGGTTGCCGCAGTGAGCGCCTGCCTGTTGTTGACATTTTTGTTCATAAATAATATTTCAGCAATCGATATAAACGAATAGAAGAGCTGTGTTGAGGAGGGGTTGAGCGGCACTTTCCTGAGCATGACGGAATGCAATTGTTTCGACTGTTTGTGAAATAAATGCCTCTGGAAAAAAAACCGTCTCTTTTTCTCGTCAAACTCGC